TTCTCTCTCATTGATGTTTCTAACTCTCTATCCCTTTCCCTTCCTCTCTGAAAAATCAATAAAATATATATTTTTTAAAAAGTCATCAGTTCAGGATAATTTGATATTTTAGAAAATACTATATATACTATTAAATGAAAACAAGCAATACCTCTATATACAGTAAGTCCTCACTTAACAGTGGCATAGGTTCTGCAACTTGAAGTGGAATGACACATAACAAGAGCAATTTTACTATAGGCTAATTGATATAAACAAGAGATTGGTTCCCATGGCATCTCATCAATATTATAATGAAATTACGGTTTTTTAGGACCTACTTATGTGGCCACATCAATTTTAGTTTTAAAAGGGGGATAGAAGTATATGGATTGTTCTGAGTGAAGGGTAATTTTAGCTCAAGAGAAGCTCCTGCCCCTCCCTTTAAGTAACTAGAACGTGAACTGGGACCTTGACCCAACTAAATGGCGAGGCAAATTTCTATTTACTAAACATCTGCTCTTCTTCTCATCCTGCAATAACCCTTTGAAGGCCACAAGGTGCATTACTGCATTCCTAGCTCAGGAAGTCTCATATACCTAGATCCCCCTTTCTATCTCTGAACCTCTCCTGCATGTGTGATCTCTGACTCTCTCATGTATATGGGGTTCCCATACATACAAATGTATTAAATTCAGTTATTTTCTCTTGCTAAAAAAAGGGGGAGGTAGAAAAAACTAAGGAATCATAATAAAATGTTACTCAAGATTATTTCTGGTATTGAGTGCAGGTGATTTTTATTTTCCTTATTTTTACTTTCCTGTTTTTGTCTTATAATTACAGTGGGGGGAACAATCTATATATATAAAAGGCTAATATGCAAAGTGATCCCTCGGGAGTTCAACCACGAGACCAGGAGTTCAATTGCTTGCTATGACATGTGCTGACCACCAAGGGGTGGCCTGGAACATGGTGGATGACCAGAGGCGGTGGCAGGGCGCTGAGGGAGCGAGGAAAGGAGGAGGTGGGGAGGCAGGGAACCTGATTGGCCCTGATCGCCAACCAGGCCTAGGACCCTACCCGTGCACAAATTTTGTGCACTGGGCCTCTAGTAATGAATAATAGAATATAGAAATTGACTTTAGTGGTAAAACATTCCACCGAACACAAATTCTTCCTCAATTAGGGTCTGAAAGAGCATAACTGCCTGTTACCTGTATCAATATGAGACCATTAACCTTGCTATTTCCTCTAGCATTCAAAGTAAGAAAGCAAGGCCAGACATTTTTTTCTTAAGAAAACATTTTATCAAATAAGTACATTAATTACCTGGCGAGGATGTGGAGAAAAAGGAACCCTCCTGCACTGCTGGTGGGAATGCAGACTGGTGCAGTCACTGTGGAAGACAGTATGGAGTTTCCTCAAAAAATTAAAAATGGAACTCCCATTTGACCCAGTAATCCCACAAAAATATTTCTAGGAATATATCCCACGAAATCAGAAACACTAAAAAGAGAGACTATATACACCTCTATGTTCATAGCAGCACAATTTACAATAGCTAAGATTTGGAAACAGCCTAAGTGCCCATCAGCAGATGAGTGGATTAGAAAACTGTGGGCCCGCAGTGATTTTCTTTTTTTTATAATTTTTTTTTTTTATTGATTTCAGAGAGGAAGAGAGAGGGAGAGAGAGAAACATCAATGATGAGAGAGAATCATTGATTGGCTGCCTCCTGCACACCCCCTACTGGGGATCAAGCCCACAACCTGGGCATGTGCCCTTGACAGGAATCAAACCTGTAACTCTTCAGGCTGTACCGACGCTCTATCCACTGAGCCAAACCGGCTAGGGCTCAGTGATTTTCTTCTTATATACCATACCAATTTATTTTGTATTTTAGTAGAAAATTTGTACTTCAACATATTTTCAGTAAACTTTTAGTTACTGTTTCTATTTGTAGGTAAAACTCTGCTGGCACAAACTCTAGCTAAATGCCTTGATGTTCCTTTTGCTATCTGTGACTGTACAACTTTGACTCAGGCTGGATATGTAGGTGAAGATATTGAATCTGTGATTGCCAAACTGCTCCAAGATGCCAATTACAATGTAGAAAAAGCACAACAAGGTATGTTTTCAGAATAACTTGCTTGTCTATCCCCAGATGTAGTCTATTGAGGAAGCAGTCTAATATTCAGTAAGAGCTAATGTAATTATTATTTTGAATGGAGTAAAATTCTGTAATTACATATAAGTACCTATGTTAAATGTTTTCTAGTATACTGACTAAGGGCCACAAAGTTTGCTTTGTCCTATTGTCATTAGTTGATTACTAGGGTGAAAATTGGCTAAATTATTATTCTGTTAGATCCTTAATACTATTATTGTGTTTGCTGTTCTGACTCTCCTCCAGACTCTGATTGCTGGGGTGGGGAGGGGAAGGAGGCCAGGTTAGGGGAGTGCAAGATGAATCTAGAAACAGATTAGCCTGTTGCCCTATGGGATATCATAGATGCTGCATTTCTCCTTCCCCCATCTAGCATCTGTCCTTGTTTACATGATGAGCTCGACAAATTCCTTTAAGATAGTAATATAGTTGGGAAAGAGTAAGCCAAAGTTTTACTAGTATCAGCACTACGTGTACCTCATGCTTCTCTAGAATCTACACTATGCCTCTATCTCAACTCCTAGAATAAAGAACCTGAAAACATGAGTGGGACAGACTGCTATTGTCAGAGAGAATTAGTTATCATACCCAAGTGATATTCTATAAAATGAATTATAAAACATTTGCACGAAATGATGAATGGGACAGATAGCAGTTCATGTTTATATATTTCTATATGTTAAGTGTGAAAGATTAAATAACCTTGCTCTCTGGCTACCTAGTATTTAAAAGCTGAGGTGATCTTGTGTATATCTTTTTCATATTATAAATAGACTCCTCCTTAAATTATAGGAATTGTCTTTCTGGATGAAGTAGATAAGATTGGCAGTGTGCCAGGCATTCATCAGTTACGGGATGTAGGTGGAGAAGGCGTTCAGCAAGTAAGCAGTTGAATATTTTGTTCAAGCCCACTAAAAGGAAGGGAATACATCAACCTCCCAATATTGTACGTTTGGTTTCATATTCAATTAGATTCTGTTTTGTTTATTTTTCCCACCCCCCAAACTCCACATTAACCACTTTAATGTACTTCAGATCCTAAGAGAAAGCTCTTGGCAATTTTAAATACCAAATAACCTTTCTTAGGAAATTGAAAATATTTTAAAGAACAGAAAAAAAGTAAAATTTAATTTCTGTTGGTTTTATTCCTCAAAGGCCCAGTTAAACATATTTAGAGGACTCTTAAAGAAAGTTCTGGTTCTAACTAGACACAGATGAACTATGTACTTGTATCTTATTCTTTTCAATTAGTTATAAGGTGTGATGAAATAGTGTTTCATTCCTTGTAGGGTCATAATTGAAGTCCTAACGATATATTGATCAAATGACCTTTTACTGGTAACAAATTATGACATAATTACAGGATAAGGAAATTGCCTTCTTTTTCTGACCAAGACATAGAGAGGTACAATCACAGTTAGAAGATGTGCTGGATAATTTTTTATAAAGGCATCTCAAAATATAGATATTCTCAAAGTTTAATACTAGGAGTATAATAAAATTTTTATTTATATGAAAGATAAATCTTTAACTATTTTCAAAATTTTGAATGTTCCTACAATGGTTGGGTACCATCTTAGAGGCATAATTCTGTCTTAATGTCAGAATTATGTCTTTACTATCAAAAACAACCTCTCAGTTGATTGATTTCTAAATGCATCAGGAGTCTCGAAACTATTCCAAATAAATTTATTAATTATTAATGTGATAGTGCATTAGATTTTCATGTTACTTCTAGAAATGGAGTTTTCTTTAGCTATGCTCATTGACCATAACCACATATTATTTTCCCCATTGAATCCCATTATCTAAAGTATAATAAATAATACACTTATATGATGATGCTAAAAATCATTCATTCTATAGGGCTTATTGAAACTACTAGAAGGCACAATAGTCAATGTTCCAGAAAAGAATTCCCGCAAGTTACGTGGAGAAACAGTACAAGTTGATACAACAAACATCCTGTTTGTTGCATCTGGTGCTTTCAATGGTTTAGACAGAATCATCAGCAGGAGGAAAAATGAAAAGGTAAGTTTTTCTGAGGAGTTACTGGGATACAGAACATTTGAAGTTACAGAGGATGGATACTCATTTTTCTATTCTCATATGTGCTGGCTGCCAGTTGTGAATTTTAAAGAGTTAAGGTTTTCTTAGAGCATACCAGAAACATATTTCTAGTTTTTTAATTTTTTTATTTTAGAGTAGCAAATTAGAATATTTCTAAGTATCATCCATGTACAGGATGTCCCCAAAAAATGTATACACACTTGGAATGATTAGTCAGTACTTATTAACATACAGTTCATTTTCAAAATGTAAAAGAATCTACAGAAATGAATATTGTTTTTTTCGTCAGTGCCTGTTTTCAAACTGATGACTGTTCTGGTCCAGGCACAGCTGATAACATCTATACTAATAAAATGGTAATATGCTAATTAGACCAAGAGACTGGACATCTTCCTACTGTTTGACTTCCTTCTGGGCAAAGCCACGGTGGTGGGGGCCGAGGCAGAGGCGGTTAGGGGCAATCAGGCCAGCAGGGGAGGGCAGTAGGGGGCCATGAGGCTGGCAGGGGAGCAGTTAGGCGGCAATCAAGCCGGTAGGCAGGCAAGTGGTTAGGAGCCAGCAGTCCCAGATTGCGAGAGGGATGTCCAACTGCCAGTTTAGGCCCAGGATTGGCAGTCGGACATTCCCCGAGGGGTCCCGGATTGGAGAGGGTGCAGGCCAGGCTGAGGGACACCCCTCTCCCCCGTGCACAAATTTCGTGCACCGGGCCTCTAGTATAATGAATAACATAAAATGATTATATGTTAATATATCCAGAGACATAGAAGCATCAAACAGATCGTCAAGCCTCAGAGAGGGGGTGGGAGGGTAAGAGATAACCAAAGGACTTGTATGTGTGCATATAAGCATAATCAATAGACACAGACAGTAGGGGGGTGAGGGCAAGTGCTGGGTAGTGGGAGCAGCTGGGGAGAGGGCAAGTGCTGGGGGCGGGGGCGGGGGCGGGAGCAGACTGGGAGAGGTCAATGGGGGGAAAAAGGAGATATGTAATATTTTCAACAATAAAGAATTTAAATTAAAATAAATAAATAAAACAGAAAATCTTGAAACATGTTTAACAGTACTTGCCTTTTTTGCAGATTCAGAAAAGAGGACTCCATTATTTCCAATGATGCCAATTGGGTATCCAAATATTCTAGCAAATCCTCAAGAGAAATTGGAAATAAAGAGTTATGTACTTCAGAGGGCTTTTAATTCACAACAAACAGACATATTTAACATCCTTTAATTTTAAATCAAAGTTTAAAGTGTACAGATTTTGTCTATGGTATACACCAGCTAATGTCACATTTTATTTCTAAGGTCCTGGAATCTGGATTTTTTCTTTCTTGAAAGGGGTGTGTCACATGTAAAGGGGTGTGCCACCTGTCTGACTGCTTGGTTTGGTTAGATTGTAACATGTTATATCTGAGTGCTCGCTGTGTACCAGACTTGAAGGATATTCTGAAATAGAATAATCAAAGATACAGAGTCCTTTACAGGTCAATGTTCAAAACTGGGCCATTGTCAGGTAACTAGCTTGCCTGAAAATGCCTGTGGTAATGACAGGCCCTTGAAATAAAGGGGAACCCTAGCAGGTTTGGCTCAGTGGATAGTGCACCGGCCTGAGGACTGAAGGGTCCTGGGTTTGATTTCAATCAAGGGCACATGTCTGGCTGCAGGATCAATCCCCAGTGGGGGGCGTGAAGGGTCCTGGGTTCGATTTCAGTCAAGGGCACATGTCTGGTTGCAGGATCAATCCCCAGTGGGGGGCATGCAAGAGGTGAGAATCAATCAATGATTCTCTCTCATCATTAATGTTTCTATCTCTCTCCCTCTCCCTTCCTCTCTGGAGTTGATGGAAATATTTTCTTTTTTAAAAAAAGGAAGGAAGGGAGGGAGGGAGGGAGGGAGGGAGGGGATACACTCAGCAAAGGCAAATTAAAACAAAAACAGGAACACTGTCAAGCCTGGTGATAACCAAGTTTAAAGTAAGAAATCTAGATAAGCTTAGAAGAAAAGTGCATCACTCCACTTTCATTTTCTCTGTTTGCATCTTTTTCTTTCTCCTTTCCATAAGTTTCATTTGTATTTCTTAAAGGAGAAGAAACTAAGGGAAACGTGATTTTGTGAGGTACACACTTTATAGATGATTTCAGGAAGTTAATTATTTTGTGAACCTGAAGACCTTGACTAGAGAGACCTTCCAAGAGTAATTCTCAACAAGCCTACTTATGACTATATATAGATGTCGAATACCCGGAACCCAAGAGTCAACAGCTGTGCTGGTTGAAGTGGGTCAAAGGCAGCACGCTACCAAAGTTTCTAGAACCTGGCTCTGTCTTCAAACTCAAGGTAGACAGGTTGCCATTAAGACACCCTGTTTGTGATGCCTGACACAAAGCAGGTGCTCAAAAAATTAATGGATAAGACTGTTCTGCAGTTTATTGATAAGCAGGACACTAAATTTTTAAAATTTTATTTGTTCTTTACTCTGACCTTTCATTTATTTATTTTTAATTATGTTTATTTAATGTGATAAAAATGAAACACTGATCAATGGTCACCTAGATTTCTCTTGGTCTTTCAGGCCTAAAATCCTAGCCACACTCTCACTGGCATTGCCATTTAGAATCAATGCAGAGAGGGGTGAACTTCCCAAACAGCCCAGCAATCCACTTTGAGTCCTGCCCCACCCACAAAAAGGCTGGGAACTTCGCTCATCTCTCAGCAGCAAGGTGGTACCCCTGAAGATATCCTGCCCTCTTCACTATTTAGACTTTTAACCCATTCTAGCCCTGCCTGGGATCTCCAGTAACAGGACTAGTGAGGGGGGCTCATGCCCCACTATAATAGGGACACCCATGAAGGAAGCACCTTCACCAGCTTCCTACAGGCCAAATAGGAAAGTAAAATATCCAAGGAACTACTAGGGCCAGCAAATGGTAAGGGCAGAGGCAGGAAGAAACCCTTAAGAGCTGCCTGGGACACCTGATCCTTAGAAAAATCTGTTCGCCTTCTCACTCCCTCCCCCGAAATGGCCCTCACCTTCTCATGTTCCCTCTTATTCTCCCTCTCACTTCTCATGCTCCCCGACTCTTCTCCTTCTCACTTCCCTCCTCTTCCCCCAACTTTACTTGAAGTCCAGTACAGTCAAGAAGAGATGGAGGAAACTGGATATATCCTTAGTATTGTAGGGGACAAAGGTGCCACCAGTTTTTTAGCAAGTACAGGTCAAATACATAAAAAGAGATAATAAGGACAGCCCATCCATCTTAAGAAAGAAGCAGAAACAGTTTGAACTTATTTTAAACTGCCCCACAATGAGGGTTACATCCTGAACTATTAAGTGGCAAATCCTGTCTATATATCAAACAAAAGCTCTTAAACACCTAAATACAAAAACATAAATTCCACTCCCAGTGTGAACCATTCTCTTGCTCATAAATCAGACCAAGAGAAAGTGTGGTGACTTACCCTTAAGCTTCAATGTATATTTGCAAGTTGGATTTTTTACAGCTGGTTGTTTATTCTACTTGGAAATGTTGTCTTCAGACTAACTGCTACATTTTTCAGCTTTTATCAGACCCAAAAAAATGCCCACATTTGTTTTGCCATTTGTCCAAGATAACTATGGGTCTAGCATCTATGTTTCAAATACTTTTCTCCAAAGGCCTACAAACTTAACACTTCAGGTGAATGAATTAACTTCTATAAATATCCTTGTTTTGTTTTTTCAGATTTGGTATTCTATCCTATATTCTGGATCTAGTATTTGCATAAGCCAACATAAGAGGCCGTGAGGTTTAACTCAGTCTGCATCCTCCCAGGAAGTTTTAAACATTATATACAATTTCCCAGTTGAATTAGAGACTAAATAATACAAAAGACTGTGCTGAGCCCCGCCAGTGTGGCTCAGTTGGTTAAGCATTCTCTCATGCACCATAAGTTGTTAGGGCACATGCCCAGATTGCAGGCTCAACCCCCGGTGGGGAGTGTGTAGGAGGTGGTTGATCGATGTTTCTCTCTCTCATTGATGTTTCTATCTTTCTCTCCCTCTCCCTTCCTCTCTCTCTAAAAAAAAAAATCAATGAAAACATATTTTTTAAAATACAGTGCAGAAATTTTCAAAATAGTTATCCAGAGAAACAAAAAGAACTACAAATATTTCTGCTAATTTGACAATAAGAAAATTTTTTTTAACATTTTATCTTTATTGTTGAAAGTATTACAGATGACCCCTTTCTTTCCCCATTGACCCCTTCTAGCTTGCACCCACCTCCCATCCCAAGCCTTCACCATACTATTGTCTGTGTCCATGGGTGATGCATATATGCATATGTTATTTGGTTAATCTCTTCCCAACCACCTACCCATCCCCACCTTCCCTCTAAGATTCAACAGTCTGTTCTATGCTTCTATGTCTCTGGATCTATTTTGTTCATCAGTTTGTTTTGTTCTAAACTTTTTATACAGCTAATGCTGCTAAGTCACAGATAAAGACCTAGACCACAGCATCTAGACATCATCATTTAAAACCTGGATCCATGAAGCCATTCAGCTTCAATTGATCTTTATAAAGCAGCTCCCTTTAGATACTGACTCACACATTTGTACTGCTCTAAATAACAAAGCTCATGTCAAGTGCATCAAAGCCTTAACACAAGACAGCATTTATTTTCAAGCAACAGAAAATGTTCACATTCAATTCTTCATCTTTATACCTGTAACTAATGTGTCTCCATATAAGGCTTTGAACTCATTGAATCTGCTTCCATCCACGATTCTAGCAATGACCTAAGAGGAAAAATAACAATGTCCCTGAAAATTATATTACAAAGGAATTGTTACATTGAAGT